CGCAAGTCCATCACAGGGCCACATAGAGACACACGAGACAAACAACCATTCACTCTCTCATTCACACCTAGGGACAATTTAGAGTCACCAATCAGCCTAACATGCATGTTTTTGGTCTGTGGGAGGAAACCGGAGTACCCGGAGAAAACCCACGCATGCACGGAGAGAACATGCAAACTCCACCCAGAAGGCCCCTGGACCGGGGTTTGAACCAGTGACCTGTTCGCTGAGAGGCAGCAGCTCTACCAGTTGCGCCACCGTGCTGCCCTGAAACTTACTCTTAGCTAACAAATCACCACCTGACACTATAGCCATCAACCACTACCACCTTATCATTATTATTACTTTTATTGTTTTTATAAAAACCCTGTCAGCAATATGCAATTACAGTCACACACATTTAAATTCCAGATAGTACCTTGTCACACTAGAAGATTTTTTGTATTTCTGTTCAGAAGTGTTTTATATGTAATTGATCATATATGAATAAACAAACAAGTATTCCAATGTCGGCAGCACTGATCAGATGCATCTCAAGCTTGCACTTGAGATTAAAATAATTTGCAGAAAGATTTTTCAATTTAAACACACTTCTTCTTTTTCTTCTTCTCCATCTTTTGGCTTTACCCTCTTCAGGAGTCTCCACAGCAAGTCATCTTCCTTCATCTCACTCTGTCCTCTGTCCTCACTCCATCTACCTCCATGTCTTCTCTAACTGCATCCATATATCTCCTCTTTGACCTTCTTCTGTCTTTTTCCTGGAAGCTGACTTTCTAACAATCTTCTACCAATATACCCACTGTCCCTCCTCTGGACATGTCCAAACCATCTCAGTCTGGTCTCTCTAACTTTATCTACCAGTTGTTCAACCTGTGCTGTACCTCTGATGATCTCATTCCTAATCTTATTCATCCTTGTCACCCCTAAGGAGAACCTCAACATCTTAATTTCTGCCACTTCCAGTTCTTTCTCCTGTCTTTTTGTCCATGTCTGTCTCCAGACCATACAACATAGCTGGTCTCACCACTGTCTTGTAAACTTTTCCTTTGACCTTTGCTGACACCCTGTTGTCACAAATCATTCCTGAAACTTTTCTCCATTCACTCCATCCTGCCTGGATTCTCTTCTTCATCTCTTTACCACACACCCCATTTTCCATGACAGTGGACACTAAGTACTTGAAGTCCTGCACCTTTGTGACCTCTGCTCCTTGTAGCCTCACTGTTCCATCCACCTCCCTCTCATTTACACACACGTACTCTGTCTTACTATGGCTGACTTTCATTACTCTTCTTTCAAGTGCATACCTCCACCTCCTTACGTTCTCTTCCACCTGTTCCCTGTTCTCATCACAGATCACAATGCCATCTGCAAACATCGTCCACATGCTGGAGCAGTGGGTGGGCATCACAGGGTTGGCCCTCAAATGGTTTAGGTCCTACTTCTCCGATAGAACCTTTTGTGTCAACATCAAGAATTTTATTTCAACATCAGCAGCTCTTCGGTGGGGGAACTGCAGGGCTCTGTGTTCCATTGTTGGATCTCTTCTCTTTTCTTTACACCTGCTGATACTAGGTGCTTTTTTTCGTAAACCTGACATCCGTTTTAATTTTTATTCTAACCCACAGATGTACAAATCACAAAACAATAATTACACTTTAAAGCAAAGCTAAAATAAAAAAAATAAAAATCTGTATACAAGAAACAAAACCACATATCTAAATTGAACAATAAAAGTAGGCACCATGAATGCAAATACATCAAATGATCAAGAAAACCTATAAAATTATAGAATCTGGTTAATCAGAGATCTAATGCTGAACTAAAGTTCATTAGCAGGATTTATATTGTTTAATTTGATCATTTTAATAATCTGTATTCTTTATAATTTACCTGAAACTTCTAAATAAATTCTCACCGTATACTGAAACCTGTTTCAGGGTCTTACTACAAGCATTACCGCCACCACCTGGTAAGGCGTGTGACATCAATTATTGATCTCTGAACTCCGCCCACCAGAACTGTTACTGAAAGTATAATGGAAACACAACTCATACCGTGCCGAGCTAAGTCGAACTGTGCTGTACCGGTACTAATTGTACTAATGGAAAAGGGGCATATGTCTCTCGGTTGGCCTGGGAACACCTTAGGGTCCCCCCAGAAGAGCTGGAAGAGGTGGCTGTGGAAAGAGATGTCTGGACCTTCCTGCTCCAACTAGTTCTCCGAGATGCTGCCTTAAGAGTGGTGTCATGTGATGAGAAACACAGGTATGTTTTTACCATGGTGACCCTACAGATCCCCTGCCAGCACTTAACATTACCTTTGAACTCGTTTAACTTCCTCTTACACAGTTCATACATCCAAACATCAACTTTGCCTGCATAAAATATTACAAAAGTTCAAATTTTTTTAGTGGGCTTTACAGAAACAGAACTGTAAACAGTAGCTGCATCTGCACCATTTAAATTTCCTTCAGAATTTTCGTTTTAATAAAATTTTTCCTCAAGACATATTTTCTCTTAAATCAATTTTTATTTAGTTTTAAATACATTTTGCTAATTACTAAATGTTTTAATCTTGGAGATAATCTCGTCCTATCACTTTACCAAACTCTTACATTTACTGACCTTGCACACTTTTTTACTTAGTGCTTTAATTAAAAATAAAATTAACGCAGAGAGAACCATTCAAATGAATCGTGTTATTTTAGTGACTGATTCAGATTAGCTTGAATCCATAAAGTGAACTGAATTTACTAGTGCTAGTCTGAAATGTTAAATTTGAAATTAAAGCTACTGTGTGCTTGTGTGCATGTGCTTGAAAATACATACAGTATTGTTCATTCAAGGATTCAAGGTTCTTTATTTGTCCTTCGCACCTCATGTGGTACATGTGGTGGAACGAAATTATGTACACAGGGTCCCAGTTACATCCAACAATAAAATGTAAAAGAAAAACAGTAATAAGATCTAAGATATGAACTAAGAAAAACATCAACTAAATATACACTAAGCACTAGTAGCATAAAAACAATAAGCCAAACAGCAGCACGAACATGAGTCTGTGTGAGCAGGTGAGCACGTATGAATGCAGCAACATGAAACAGATCAGCAACAACATGAAACAGATCAGCAGC